TTAAGTGATTCTGGAAAGAGATGAAACAAAAGGAGGTCTTAATTTATACGGCAGCCATTACGGACTGAGGGCAGACTGATTAACCCCCCACACACACACACTTTCTTTTCTTTTTTTTAAGAAAAACCCAAGTATTGAGAGATGATTTTTTGGGGGGAGGGGGAATAAAAGGACTCGGAGATTTGCACTAAGGATGTATAGAGCAATGGCATGGCCCACCCCCACCCCAACTCCATCAATTAGGAGCCTTCCTTCACTTCTTGAAATTCTGACGGGGTGGGGGGTGGGGACTCCCACCCAACAGTGTGTAGGACAGGCGTTGGGGTCAAGTTTGCGTGGGACGATGGCAAACTCTCCATCACCTTTTCCCCTCCTCTGTGCTGCAACTGACAATCAGAAGAGATAAGAATGGAGTTTCCGGTTTTGGCATCTGCAATGGTGGCCACAGTCTCCCGAAGCTGTGGGAGCTGTGCGCCAGCACCTGTGGCTGGGAGGGGGTGTGAACGTCCGCACTACCCTTGGAGCCCGTGCGAAGGGCTCCCAGCCATGGGGTGCTAGAAGAGCTCTTCCTCCGGCCACTGGCCGGTGAAGGGGGGCTCCTCCATGCCCCGAAGGTCCCACCGCGATGCGCCCGAGAAGGAACTAAGAATGCACACTAGGACAAGCATTTGGTGGTTGAGCGTACTGTGATCGAGAAAAGCGAGTTCTACAACAAAAAGTGAGTGTTGGTTTAAGCAAAGGCACCAAAATCCAAACGGAAAATCCCCAAAAAACAAACCGGGGGGGGGGGGGCGACCATCTCTCGGAAGAAATAAGAATGCAACAGTCCTCATCCTCACCTCCTCTGAGTGTCAGTTTCAGCACACAGGAGGGGAAAAGGAGATGGAGAGTATGACTGGTTAAAGCATAAGTACTTAGAAACGAAGACCAAATGAAGAACAATAAGAAGGATGGTTATAACAGTTGTGAAACTTTCAGGAGATTTGCATGTGGAATGTTAATTTGGATTTTTTATATATAACTCTGTACTCTCTTTTTTCCCTTTCCCCCTTTCTATATATAAACTAATAAATCTCTCCTTATATATAATTGAATAGTGGGTGCCAAAGTTCTAATTCTAAAATGCACTCCCTTAGTGTATGGCTGATGGCACTGCTCCTCAGCATATATCGCCACCAATCAGAAGGCAAAGCCCGGGTCCCGCCCACACCACAACTGCTGCGACAACCTGGTCTTTTGCATATGGAAGCTGATTGGACTTCAGTCCATTCCACACCTCAAACTCCCCCCCCCCCGCAAGGCAGTTGGGATTTTCAGTTGCATAACATACCTCATAGGGGAGAGGAGAATGGGTAACAATGGTTACCACTCTCCAGGTGAGGGCTACAGATAACTCAAACATACAAATGCTTTTCAGGTAGCAGAGATCAGTCCCTCTGGAGAAAACAGTGGACTCTGTCATTAATCCCTGCTGAGGTCGCCACAGGAAACTGACACTGTTTGCCCAAAGCCAGAGCACTCTCCCAGAGCCTCTTTCTAGATCCCGTTGTATTTATTTCTGCAACGGGCATTATTTCTAGTTCTATTAAAAAAGAGAGAGATGAGGAGATTATTGTTCTAATGCCCTATCCTAATTTTAAATTCCCGCGCTTTATATCATCGAGTCACCTCTAAACAAATACTGTTATCGTTTACATTATGGCTACTGCTACTCTGGTTGTTCCTTCTGTGTTTCCTTTGAGACTACTATTGACGATAATGATAAGATTTTTACACTTCTATGCCCCTGCTTATCACGTTAACATTTATTTATCTATTTTATTTCGATTTATGCCCCCCCCTCCCCGCCAAGGCAATTACTGTCATTCTATCGTAACTTTCTGTGCACATTCATCACGCTGCTCTATACAGTCGTTCTACTACGGTGTACCTGGTATGAGGAGCCACGCACGAAACTTTTCCTCGATATCCGGAGTAAAATTTATGTAACTAGTCTGGATTGGATTCAACGTTTTATTCTCTCGGACGTGGACTTAGAGGTTTCTCAGGCTGCTACTAGATTTGGGGCAGTCTGTCTTGCAATACGTAGAGAGAAGATGATCCTTACCCCAATGACTCCTATATTCCAATGTTGGAGGACCCACGATACTCCCGGGGGGGAGCTCCATGCGGAGGAGGAGGAGGAAGCAGCCGCAGGTAAGCCTTCTTCCCCCTCCCCCCGGCACCAATGGCGAGGCCCGTGTGGCTCCCACCGGGTCTGCCAAGCATTCTCTCCCCCCGCCCAGCACCAGTGGCGAGGCCCGTGCAACTCCCAGCTGCTAGGCCCACTAAGCCTTCTCCCCCAGCACCAATGGCAAGGCCCGCGCGGCTCCCACCATGTCCAAGCCTCCCCCCTCCCACACCAACGGCGAGGCCCATGCGGCTCCCGCTGGGCCAGCCAAGCCTTCTCCCCCCCCCCCGCACCAATAGT